AACTTGACTTGCGTCGACAAACATGTGCACCTCGACTTTACCGATGCTTGCGACGTATGGCGAGTAACATCGTGGAATCGTGAATTGCCTCACGCTGTCAAACTCTTGCCACCATTGTGACCATTTCCTGCCCAGCTCCTTCGGAAGAATGTCATCCCATTCTATTTCGCTCTTCCANCATTCCGGTTGTAGTGTTAGGGAATGCCAATACTGCTCGTGGTACTTTAAGAAGTCGGGACCCTTTAACCAACGGTTATTGGTGTCGAATTTCGGTGGACATGATGGGCGCGTTGCAGCGTCTGCAGCATTTTCCCCAGTTGGCACCCATCGCCATTGTTCCGGGGCAGTGGAGGTAAGTATTTCGGATATGCGATGGCCGACAAACGCCTTGTATTTCCTCTGCGATGAATGTATCCACGGCAAAACGGTTTGCGAATCGCTCCAGAATACCGCCCGCTCGATGGTGAACTCGTGGGATTCTTGGATTAATTTGAACAGACGGGTGCCCAGGACAGCTGACTGCAGTTCTAGGCGCGGGATCGACATGAGCTTCGTCGGAGCGGTACGGGATTTTCCCATTACGAAGCTGACGTCAACGTTTTCTTCGTGGAGAACTCGCAAGTAACCCACCGCAGCAAACGCAACTTGACTTGCGTCGACAAACATGTGCACCTCGACTTTACCGATGCTTGCGACGTATGGCGAGTAACATCGTGGAATCGTGAATTGCCTCACGCTGTCAAACTCTTGCCACCATTGTGACCATTTCCTGCCCAGCTCCTTCGGAAGAATGTCATCCCATTCTATTTCGCTCTTCCAGGTCTCTTGAATTGTCTCTTGAATTAGAAGTTTAGTAATAATTAAGAAGTTAGACAACATACCAAACGAATCAAACACCGCCATAACGATGCGCAGTAATTCCCGCTTGGTTGGTGCACGCGCTCTGTTTAGTACTTCTTGAGGCACGCGATGAAACTGTGTGTGGAATCCGAACGTATCTTCTTTCGTGTTCCAGTACANCACCCAGCCAAGTGGAGTTTTCGCAGCCAAGGGACTATCGCTGCTGGGCTTGCACAATCGCTGTGGTGGCGCCGAGATGTGCGTGTTTTAACCCAATCAGCAACACTGGTTTTGCACGATAATANACAACTAAATCGTCAGCATAGTGTTTGTTGATAATCGTGGATACGGCTTCCGGAAACTGTGCTCTAAATTCTTTGGCGTTTTTATTCTTTATGTATTCGGCTATGCATGGTGAGCATACAGCACCGAATATTAATGATGTCATCGCGTACTCTTCGATGGGTCGACTTTGGTCTCCGTCGCGCCATAAAAAGCGATGGGCGGTTGATCATTTTGGCGTATCTTTATTTGTGAAAAGATTTCACGAATGTCGGCTGATACTCCAATGCGCCCCTGGCGAAATTGCAATAAAATTCTTATCAGCGATTGTGCTTGTTCTGGACCTTTCAGAAGAGCCGAGTTGAGAGACACATTTGCTACGCTGGCTGAGGCATCAAAAACAATTCGTATTTTTTCCGGCTTATGGGGGTTGAAGACGGCGAAGTGGGGCAAGTACCACACGTTTAAGTCCGGCGCGCTGACTTCGGCTTCGTTCAGCTTTCTGGCGTACCCTCTTTCAAAATACTTGGACATTTCCTCTCTGTACCGCGTACGAAACTCGACGTCGCCTCTCATTCGTTTCTCCACTGTCCACAAGCGCTTTTCCGCCATGGCTCGACTGCTTGGCAATTTCGGCGGATACTCTTTCCACAGCAACCCGACTTCGTACTGGTGTCCCACTTTTCTGGTCGTTTGTTGTAAAGTTGAACGTGCGCGCTTCTCTTCGTCTGACTCTAACTTCTCCGGCGACGGATTGACGCCAAAACTATCTGCTGTGAAATATTCTTTTATTAAATCGTTCAGTTGCTGCAATTCTCGCACGAGCAGAACACGGGGGTTCAATGGTGATGGCAACTTCGTTGGACCATATGCAACCCAGCCAAGTGGAGTTTTCGCAGCCAAGGGACTATCGCTGCTGGCTTGCACAATCGCTGTGGTGGCACCGAGATGTGCGTGTTTTAACCCAATCAGCAACACTGGTTTTGCACGATAATAGTTCAAAATGGGCAGATCTTTAAGATGATCGAAATTTTCTTTTCTTAGTGACTGTTCGGGTAAATTCAAGTTTTTTACCGTGTACACATCTTTAAGCGCAAATCTATTCTTGTTAGTGCAGTTCTCGATTTCAACGGCAACCTTACTGGCTTGCTCGGTTACCATTTTATCGTCATACCACTGCAGCGTGAGTGGATGTACATCGCCTTTAGCACCGATCATATTTGCTACGCCGGCCTCCATTATCGACACTGACGAACCTTCGTCAAACATGGCGAGGACTTCCTGCTTGCCGTCCGGGCCGTAAATATTAACCGGTAACATTTTAAATAGCAAACCTTGCGAAATTTGTGTTACCCGACAATTTAACAGTGGCTGCACAGCGGCATCCGATTGCGTGACTCGACGTGGCGTTTGGTCAGCTGCTTCCTCATTGAGCAGTAGCTGGTTGTGGTATC